CCTAAGGTCCCTCAGGCAAACCGAGGCACAGGTCCACCACAGTTCACTCTGGGGACCAGTGGGCTTCCCTACCGAGATCAGGTAAGGGGACTCCAAGGTGTGGGTGCTCCTACCCCGATAGGCCGCATCGGGGAGTCCGAGCCACAGGGATGGAGGCCTCGCTGCAGGGCTGAAGCCTCCTGCCTCAGGCCTTCTTAGCCTGCACTCTGGACCATGTGCAGCTTCAGCAGAGCTCATTCAGCAGGGAGTAGGGCGTGGTTGCACACTCAGGTAAGGGTCTGGAGACACCTCTCCCCCACCATGAGGGGCTGTAACAATCAACAAGGCCAGCTGGGTAATTATTGTGCAACGGAGGACAGCTGAGCTCCACGAAACGGTTAGGATCCTGGTCATGAGGGACAGCGTGAGCCCTGTCCCTCAGTGCTGCCGACAGCTCCCTGGCTTGTAGCACGCTTTTACACGCTGACCTGGCCACTGCTTCAGCCTTGGCTGGTCTGTCCTGAGGGCCTGCTCTCGTCAGCCTCTCTACCTGGCAGCACCTGCCCGAGGACCTCAGCAGGTGCTGGTCAAGGAATTCTCTCCTGTGCTCTTTTCCCAGTTCCCAGCCCTGCTTGTTGTGTTGGGAACAGAAGCAGGGCTGGTTCGTGCTGAGGGGCTTGCTGTCGCTGGACTGTACTCCCAGTCTAGTCACAATTAATTCAATTAATTAATCGAGGTAGGGTCTCACTGATGCCTTCAGGCTGGACTAGAACTTGCTATGTAGCCCAGGCTGGCTTTGAACTGGTGACACTCCTGGCTCCTGGCTCAGTCTCACGAGTGCTGGGGTCCACAGAGTCACATGCATGGCCCAGTTTGGTGCATCTGATTTTGCTTTAGTTTTTGAGACGGAGGTCTACAGCCCAACCTGGCCTCACACCCATTGTGTCCCTGAGGATAAGCTTGGCCTCCCACATTCGGTGTTACAGGCTTGTGCCTCCACACCTGGTTACACGGACTGGTGATGGAACTCAGAGCCTTGTTCACGCTCAGGGAGCACTCTGCCAACCCAACTACATCCCAGCACCAGTTCAAGGGTCACTTCCTGGGCAGGGGACAGCTCAGTGTCCGAACAGAGGCCTAGATGCATAGGCCTTAGTTATCCACATCCTCAGAAAAAGGAAGTTAGCTTCTCAAAGAGACCTGATCTGGCCCAGCCCAGAGGAAATTTTGTCTCCTGACACACTCTGGTTATATGGGCTCTTGCTTTTTCACAGTTGTAGCCAGGGGACTTTGAGGCCCTGTTTCAGGACCTTGGCTGGACAGACAGTTGGTGCTGAGGGAAAAGGAACTCTCCTTCTACATTTCTCAGACTTCCTCCTTTGTCCCATCCCTGTGAAACTCTTTGCCCCTCAGGGAACACTTTTACTCAGTTGTAAGTAACAGATAGTCCACCTCAGCTCTGCTCCCAGGAAACTGTGAAAGTAATGGCCCAGGCAGTTTTAGTGTCCAGTTGTAGCTCAGCTTTCAAGAAGAGCTGGATCCCCGGAGCCCAGCAGTGAGGTCAGGACACATTCTCTACTTGGGTGTGGTGCACACCTGTAGTCCCAGCACTCAGGAAGCAGAGGCAGGAGATTATCACACATTTGAAGCAGGTTTACAGAACTCGTTCCAGGCCAAGCGAGGCTGAGTAAGGAGACTGTCAGGATCTTTGCCACCGCAAAGACTCATTTTCTGTTCTGTTTTCTTCCTTATAGTTCTGCTACTGGGCATCAGTCAGGAACTCCAGAAAGGCAACGAAGAAGCTTGAACAGCTCCAGGCCCAAAACCTTACTTAGAAATACTTTTCTGGGCTGGAGAGATGGCTCGGAGGTTAAGAACACTGGCTGCTCTTCCAAAGGTCCTGAGTTTAATTCCCAGCAACCACATAGTGGCTCACAACCATCTGTGGTCAGATCTGGTGCCCTCTTCTGGCCTGCAGGTGTACATGCAGACAGAACACTGTATACATAATTAAGTAAATCTTTAAAAATAAATAAATAAAAAGAAACACTATCCAAATGGTCACCCTTTCACAGACCACACAAGCTGAGGGCGGGCTCTTTAGGAAGGTAAGTAGTTAAAGGTTGCTTTACTGGGTGATGCTCTGAGCCCTCAATAATTAATAACCAGCCACTCCCAAACTTAGTGACTACACCAGCTAGTTTTATGTCAGCTTGACACAAGCTATAGTCATCTGAGAGGAGGGAGCCTCAATTAAGAAACTGCCTCCTGAGCTGGGCAAGATGGCGCACACCTGTAATCCCAGCTCTGGGGAGGCAGAGGCAGGTCCATCTCTGTGAGTTCAAGGACAGCATTGTCTATAAAGTGAGTCCAGGATAGCTAAGGCTGCAGAGAGAAACCGTCTTTGGGGGGGTGGGGAGGGGAGAAAGGAAGGAAAGAAGGAAGGAAGGAAGAAAAAAGAAAAGGAAAGGAAAGGAAAGAAAAAAGAAAAGAAAAAAGAAAAGAAAAGAAAAAAGAAACTACCAGGGCCTGGAGAGATGGCTCAGAAGTTAAGAGCACTGGCTGTTCTTCCAAAGGTCCTGAGTTCAATTCCCATAACCACATGGTGCTCATAACCATCTATAATGATATCTGGTGCCCTCTTCTGGCCTGCAAGTGTACATGCAGGCACAACAGTGTATACATAACAAATAAGTTGAAGGGAGGGAGGGAGAGAGGGAGAGAGGGAGGGAGGGAGGGAGGGAGGAAGGAAGGAAGGAAGGAAGGAAGGAAGGAAGGAAGGAAGGAAGGAAGGAAGGAAGGAACTATCCCCTAATATGGACATGGTGGAACACGTCTTTAATTCCAGCACTCAGGAGACAGAGGCTGGTGGATCTTTGTGAGTTTGAGGCTAGCCTGGTCTACAAAGTGAGTCCAGGACACTTTGTAGTCCAGGGCTACACAGAGAACCCCTGTCTCAAAGAAACCCCAAACCATAACCAAGTCAAAGAAACAAAACAACAACAAAGGGATTGCCTCCACAGTACCAGGCTGTAGTGATTGCTGGGGGAGGGCACTTCTGGGCTGGTGCTGCTGGGTTCTGCAAGGAAGGAGGCTGAGCAAGGCTTAAGAGCAAGCCAGTAAGCAGCGCCTTCCACAGTTTCTGCTTCAGTTCCTGCTTCCAGGTCCTTCCCTATTTGAGTTCCTATCCTGATCTCTTTCAGGTCACCTGGAAACGTAAGATAAACTAGAGCCTTTCCTCCCTAGGTTGCTTTTGGTGTTTTATCACAGCAGAAGAAACCTCAACTAATGCAGTGACCTAAACCACCTTTTGATTTGCAATTCTGAGCATTAGATAGGCTCAGTTTGATAGCTCTGGGGTGGAGTCAGGGTTGCTTATACCTACCTCCGACTTTAGTGCTGACAGTCCAAGACTACCTTCTTGGGCTAGGGTTATTAATTCAGTGGTTATTAATTCATCTAGCACAGACAAGGCCTGGACTTCAAACTTTAATAACAAAACAATAACAACACTCACCTTGCTCATAACTCCTAGCCCAAACTGAGTGGCTCAAAGCCAGAGTTTCTCTCTGAGGTGCGTCTCCAGCCCCTCGGTAGAACTCTTCATTAAAAGTAACAGAAACTAGATGCAAACAGATTCAAGGGAGAGTCAGAAATACAAAGTTCTGGGGGCTATTAGCTTTGGGCATGGCTCAACAGGGTACTCACGAGAAATCTGCTTCTTCCACTTCTTAGCTGTTTTCCTTCGTGTTGGTTTAATTATCAGGCAGATTTCCCTACACATTCACTAAAGGCTTCAGATTTATGTTTGACAGCCTGGAACAGAGCAGGAAACACTTACCCTGGACTACAGGGTGTAAGAAACAGAAATGCACCAGGAGGGGAAAAGCAAAGCATAGGGAGCCTGTGTGGTGACTCAGTCCTGGAGGCTGAGGTAGGGGGACTGCTGTGAGGTTGAAGCCAACATGGGCTACATAGTGATACCCTATCTCAAAGGAAGAAAAGAAAGCAAAGCAAAATATAAACAATATGGTGGCATGCGCTCATTTCCCAGCACTTGGGAGGCAGCCCAGGCTACGAGACCCTATCATAACCTAGGATAAAATAAGAAAGGATCCCAAGCCAGTCAAACATCAGGTAACTGTGGATAATTCTGCAGCCCTTCAAGAGGAGTGTGAGGGTGGAAGGATGAGGGAGACTTGGGAGTACAGAGCTTATTTAATGAAAGAATTGGAAGGTAGATGGTTCAGTGAGCTAAAAATCCCCCTACCCAAGTGCAAGCTCCGAATCTCCTGGAGAAGGAAAGAAAGCCTACAAGTGGTCCTCTGCCTCCACGCACGTCCAGGGGCACACACGTGCCCAGGTAACCATCATGATAGTAATACATGAAAACAGTATTAAAAAATAAAACAATTGGGATCATGGGGTCAGATCTTTTCAAGACTGGCTGTGTAAATAAGGTCGCCTGAGACATGGCTCATGTTTTTCCTGTGAAACTGGATCTCTTCCCAGTTGTCGTGAGGGTCAAGTGAAATATCAACTTAGGAGAGGTCTGCCTTATTCTCCTTGGCATTAGATTAACACTAAGGTCCTGGGTTTGGTTGGTGTACCCTGCACAATAAAGAGTTCCTTCCACCTAGTGGCCAGCACGGGTTCCTGCATGGCAAAGTTGGCCCACTTTTGGAATGACCTGGAGTGTTAAAGCAGGATGTATGTATGGTCTTTGTCTATACCAGGCTTGGCACAGGCACACTCTGAGGTAGGCACTGTTCCACTTGGGGGTAGGAGCTAACCAACCAGGAGCACAGGACTCTGTGAAAGCAGAGCAGGCACCTGACAACTGGCTGGTTCCAGAGCCTGAGCTCCCCGAAGTTCTCTAGACCTCCTTCCCGGGCCACTAGAGACCAAGGGAGCTCTGTCAGTGTCCACCTGCTGTGTGGGGGCTGTGCACTGCTCTCCAACACCATCTACCCTAGCGAATTCCACATATGGTTTTACAAAGAACGCTCAAAGCAAGCGGGTATGGTAATGCATGTCTTTAATCCGAGTACTCAGGAGGAGAGGCAGGAGGATGTCTGAGTTTGAGGCCAGCCTGTGTACACAGTATGTTCCAGAACAGCCAGGGCTATCTAGAAAGACAGTTTTTGTTGTCCTTTGTTCGCTTTAATGCTGAAAAGTATCATTAGGCTTTTGTTAGAATGCTGACCCCTAGGACAACTTCCGGGTTGCCATCAGAACCACTGACTTTAAAGACTGATAATACTTAATACAGATAAGAAGTGGAACTGGGGCCTTTACACACTAAAGAAAGGAACATCAGAAAGGAACATTTTGGGTAAAAAATCAGCCCACTTCTGAGCGGAGCAGTGTGCGCACCAAACACCACAGCTTTTACAGCAGCTTTATTCGGGATAACCCTCAAGGAGAAACACCACAAGTGCTCACAGTACAAAGGCTGGGTTGTGACTGATTCAAATAAAGGACCACCAGATAGCACTAAAAACTGAACTCAGCCAGGTATGGTGGTGCATGCCTTTAATCCCAGCACTGTAGGCAGAGGCTCGCCGAGTTCAAGGCTAGCCTGGTCTACAGAGTGAGTTCCAGGGCAGCCAGGACTACATAGTGAAATCCTGTCCCAAAAAACCGAATCAACCAAACAAAACTTCTCAGAGACTCAACACGGATGAATGCAGATGTGGCGGCACATGCCTACCAGCCCAGAAGGCAGCGGGCGGATCAGCAGTTCATGGCTACCCTTGCCCCTCGAGACCTGATGTTCTCTCCTTTCGCCAGGCTGTTAGTGTTTGCATCTCGGAACGCCCACGTGCCATACACATCTCCACCTGATTTTCAGGTGTGTGAGCTCCCCGAGGGCGTGAGTGAGCTACTCTAGGGTTTTCACCCCAGTGGCACTGACCAGGCAGCTGCTGGGGACTCCCGAATCTAGACAAAGACGTCGAGACAAGGGCTCATAGCAAGGCAGCCCATTCGTGACCTTACCCTTCACTATTTTACCCAGTGATCTTTCCTAATTCTGTTACCGGGCTGCACAGAATTCTAGGAAGACCATTGAGGTGGCCTACAGTTGGGAAGCGGAAAGCCAGGAGTCAAGAGCTTCTCATATCTGGCTAGGGGCCCATGGCAGCGTGCTGCAGGGACCGGGGCTGAGGGTGCTTGGCCTGGCTACCTGTGGCCAGTTTCTGTCACTTCTGAGTCACAGAAAAGGCTCTCCCATGGACCAGAGGCCCACGAGGAAACTGCTCTCCTCTTTAGAGCAGGAAAAGGACGCCACCACGTGCACCCTGAACTTGAAGGGACTGGTTACCCTGGAGACAGTCCACGGGCACTGGTTTCCTCCTGGCCTAGCTGCAGTCCTCCACTTAGTAGCTAGCACGACCATGGCAAGAATAATCGGATTCCAAAGCACAGATTCTCTGGAGACCTCTGGAAAGGTGAAAGAGGGTGGCTGGCTGCATGGACTGGGCTGGGTGCTTGGGCACCAGGGGCTGGCTGTGCAGGGATATCACAGCAGCATCAACACGGCTGTCAACCCCAGGGCTGAGGCTACAGCCCACCTCATGGAAAACTCTGTGTGGATGGTTGAGTGACTCACACCCCCCATCCCTACACGGTACCCAATGGCATTAACAGTGAAGGAGCCTCAGGGATACGCCTGGAGGCTTGCTCCACAGTGACAAATCCATCCCCGGGGACTCCCAGGACGTAAAGCAGCAGCAGGGAATGCTCAGTGGGGCCTGCACCAGCTCTACAGCCCTCCTCAGTGGCCCCTGGCTCCTGGCATCCCCAGTCTCCTTGAGGATGATGGGGAGGGATAGCACCACAGCAGCCTGGGTGGGACGGCCTAGAGCAGAGCACAAGGGCACACAACTCCTCAGGTAACCTTCCCGCAGGCTGGCAGGACGCAGAAGCAAGGGGCCACACAGCAGGCAGGAGCCTTTCTCAGGGGGCCCGGGTGACAGCACCCCGATAAAGCCGAGGCCCCTAGGGTGCTTCCCACGATTTCCCGGGCACTGGGTCTGCTGCAGATGCCCAGCACCACTCGGGATGGAGAGACGGGCAGCAGGGATGGCAGGGCTCTTCGAGGACTGTGTGTCCCAGGAGACTTCACGGTTGGCAGGGCCTCCACCTGCAGACAGACTGACACACTAACTCCAGGCTCTCGTGTGCTGCTCTGGCAAAGTCTTCAGGAAAGTTCCAGTGCACAGGCGCTGCTAGAGCACAGAGGCCGTGCCTCCCTCAGCTGCAGGGACTTGCTCCCAGCACACACACCCAGAGGGGCGGGGAAGGCTGACCTCTAGCCACCACCTCAGGTCTTCCCAGGGCCTGACTCTGGTCATGACCTTGGGGCCACACTAAAGAGGAGGAGCGGGAAGAGCTCAATCCAGGTCCAGGCTGAGGCTGGCTGTGCCCAATCTGGCCTCCACATTCTTCTGACAGAAGAAAGGAGGAAGAGGGAGCCAGGGCTAACCATAGTCACCAGGAACTGGCTCGTGGCTGTGCCAACAAGGCTGGCCAGGCAGAAACACTCTAGTCTTCCACTGTGCTTGAGTCCTTTGGAGTGGGCTGGGTTTGCACTGGCACCTGGCTCACAGGTGTCACCACTGTTTTGGGCGACCTGTAATTTGAGGAGAACGAAGACACAGGGTAAGTGCGAGGCATGCTCTGAGAGGATGCTCAGTAGGCTGTTCTCAAGGCATTGCGGCGCTCCTGCATGCTGGGACGCTGAGCAGGGCTGCCTCCTTTTACTGAGGGCTGCTGAATGCTCGGGCACTATGCCACTGCAGCCTCAGGTCACTTCTGCCCAAGAGGAACAGCACCCACGCTTTACACACAAAGCCGACCCAGAGAAAGCGCCAACAACTGGCTTAAAGTGTTTTAGGAATCTGTGAAACTTAGGGCTGGAGAGATTGCTCAGTGGTTAAGAGCGCTCGCTCACTGTTCTTCTAGAGGATCCGGGTTCAATTTCCAGCACCTGCATGGCAGCCCACAACTGTCTGTTATGCTGATTCCAAGGGCTCTCACACCTTTACACTAATGCACATAAAATTAAACAAATTATTGAAAAAAAAAAAAGATATCTGTGAAATTTAAAATCCACAAAGAAGAAAAAACCCATGATTTTTGTATTTGTCTCCCAGACTTTGGCTTGTTTTATATGATCTTGAGTTGCATTTACTTTTCATCAAACATAGTTTCTTTTGTGTGTGAGGGTCAGGAATGGCCTTGGGTGTCATTCCTTAGGTGCTTTATATCTTTTTCTCACTGCTCTAGAACTTGCTGAGTCGGCTCCACTGGCTGGCCGGGGATCCCAGGGATTCTGTCTCTGCCTTCCCCATGCTGGGATCGCAAGCACACACCACTGCATCTAGCTTCACTTTTTTGTTTTTAACACAGATTTGCAGGTCGTACAGGTTGACCTTGAATTCCTGACCTTCCTGCCTCGACCTCCTGACTGCTAGGATCACAGGTGTTTACCACATACCTGAGTGCTTGGCCTAGGTGGCTCATGCAGGCTTCCAAGTCTGAGTCCTCTTTAGCTTCCCAAATACTGGGACTATGGTGTGGTATGTGTGTCAGTGTGTGTGGACAACACTAATTTCAAGTCTGATAGCTCCAAAGTTCTGGCTGGCTACAGATGGTCTACTAACCACCAGAGGCTAAGCTGCTGACATGTGCTGAAACAGAGAGCGAGGCTGTCACAGCCCCCATGTGACAGGACGGCATGTGTCCAGGTTGGCCTCAACCTTCCAGTGTGTGAGGACCATCCTGACTTCCTGGTCCTCCTGCCATGCCTGGGACCCCAGGTGTGTCCTGCCACACCACATCTCTTCCTGGCAGGTCACTTGCTGTGTGTTCTAGTCGCATGTATGATGTGAGCAGCATTTGGTCTGCTTTGGCCAGAACTTGGGCGGTTTTTGTTTGTTTTTTCTGGATAGCCTTGGCTGTCCAGGACTCACCCAGCTTCAGAACTTAGGCGGGTCTTCATACAGCAGTCATATGCAGGAGCTCCCTCTACAGCTTTCTGTCAGGTGATGAACTAGACCAGAGGGGAAATCAAGCTTCCCTCTTCAGGCTGCCACAGGCCAGGAAACCACAAGGAGGCCATCTCTGCACCTCTACTGAAAGTCCCAGCCCAGGCAGTCCCAACGCTAGAGGAGGGCTGAGGGATAGAGCCAGGACACTTCCCATCCACGGAGCTACCTTCTGTTGACTGAGGAAAAGCTCCTACATTCCGTTTACGCAGGGAACTGCCTGGCTCAGAAACCATAGACTCCTGCTGGAGACTAATGAACTTCAAAGCTGTTACTCACTGGTTCTTGTGTTTGAAGCCGCTGACGTGAGCCTGGTACTGTTCGATGGAGTTCAGCACTATTTTACACGTCTTGCAGGGATAGCCTTTCCCAGCTGAAACACATCAAAAGGAAGAGAGTTGGTTAGTCAGTAAGAAGGGATCAGAGGAATGCTGCTTTGCACAGAACATGCAAAGCCCTTCTGAAGACGGAAGGGTGAGACTGGGTGGCCCTGATTAAAATCCCAGAGGCCTGGGTGCTCTGGAAGCAAGACTGCAAACAGTGCACCCTGGGGCTGCAACGTTCATTCCCATTCAAGGGATCCCAGTTTCTAGTCCAACAAAAATCCACTCTAGATGGTGCTGAGAAAATGGAAGAATGACAGAGCTGCTGAGGCCATTTAGTGGGTGAAGATGCCTGTATCCAGGCTTGATGACTGGGCTCAGGCCCTGAGACCCTCACAGGTAGAAGGACAGAGCAGAGTCAGTCACCCTCGGACTTCTGTACCCGCACCATGTCTGCCCTGCCTTCCACGCCACCACGATAATAAAGAACCACGGAGCAAAGGTGACCTTTGCTTCAATGCTTCCTTTACTAAGCAGCCTCATTCAGGGGCCCCTTTCACTGAGAGGTCTCTCGGAAAGTCCATTCTCCTTGGTCTTGCAGTTAACAGTAATTAAGGGAACACCTGTAATGAAAACCAGTGTCTCTTTACACTGGGGTTCAGACACCCTGGCTCACAACCACGGTTCCTCTAGTGACATGGTGGCCTTTTGCCATATGGCTCTAGCACTTAGGCAGCAATCAGACCCTGGCTGCTTCATGTGACTCAGCTAAATCCTTTCCTTCCCAACGCTTAGCTTCTCACAATCATAAACCAATTACATTACTTTATACTCAGAATACTTAGGACAAAATAGCTGTGTCTTGGGATTAAATTTTTTAAAAAAAATTCCTGTGTATGTGTCTGCGTGTGTGTAAACATTTGTGCAGGTGCCCAAGATGCCAGAGAGAAAGCGTCATATCCTCTGGCACCCGAGTCACAGGTGGTTGTGAGCCACCTGATAAAGGTGCTGGGTCCAGGCCTTCTGTGCGACCAGCAAGTAGTGCTAACTGCTGAGCCATCTCTGTAGGGCGATATAAAAACTTGTTTATTTTCTGAGACACGGTTTCTCTGCATCGTTAAGGATGGCCTGAAACTCAACTCTGTAGACCAGGCCGGCAGCTAAGAGAAGGGAGACAGCACTCTCGCTGATCACAGCAAACAGACCTCTCTGACGGGACAGAGCAGAACTAGACTGAGGCACATTGTCTCTCCTCACCTACTAGCAGGCTAATACTGACTGAGGTTAGACTTCTTATAGATCTCTCATAACTAATTACCTTAGCACACGATAACACATTTACATTTTTCCTGTGTCAAGTTGACCAAAATAGTCCAGGTGAGTTACAATATATTTAAAGTTAATGTTAAGAAGGAAGGAAGGGCGGGGTATACATTCAGGGTAGAGCACTAGAGAAAAACAGCCACCTTCCCATTCAACATTACAGAATATTCATTTAATGACATTGAGGGGAAGCAAGATGCCTCAGCAGGGAAATGCTCTTGCCTGGAGGCTGGAGCCTTTCTTCCAGGGGTCACAGGCAGAAGGTCAGTCTACCCAGCTGTGGGGATGCTCCGCTGGCCCACGCAGCCGGGAGACTACTTAAATGTGAAGTCACTGTGTGTGCACACATACGCGCACATACTGGTAGGGAACTCTGGTGGGCAGTGTGCTGGGCCCTCCTGGAGTGCCTCCTGGCGAAGAATGCTTCCTGTGGGAGGCGAAGGGAACGAGACAGTGTCCGTTCAGTCTCAGAAGATGCTCTGTGCTGGGAGAAGGGAGCCAGTGCTCATATGCAGCTCAAGGTGCTGCTGAGACTAAGCTTATGCTAAGCCTGTTGGCACTGCCCTGTAAAGCCAGCAGTTGAGAGCTGACACTGGACAGTCGGGGGTTTGCTATCCCTGGACACAGAACAAATTTGAGGTCAGCACGAGCTACATGGAACTGTCTCAGAAAACAAAACTAAAAAGCAAACCCTAAAGCCCCAAACCTAAACCAAACAAAAGAAAACAGCCCTTATCCGAGCTGAAGGTGGCAGGTTATATTCATAATAGCAATTCTCTTTCTTTCAATTTATCTATATTTAATTGCTTATATATGTGTAATACTCCTGATCTTCCAGCTTCCAACTCCCAAGTGTTCAGATTACGGGTGAGCACTGCTGTGCAGTGTTTATGAGGTGCAGGTGAGAGGGGCTAGGACTTTGTGTGCACCTGAGTGACATTTCCAGCCCTAAACACACTATAGATTACTAAGAAGGGACCCTAATTGTGAATGCCCACTTCCTCGATGCCAGGTGACATTTTGAGGTTAAGGATGCTAGAATTGCCTCCTCCTTCACCATGATACCCAGGGATACATGAAGGTCTCAAATGCTGAGGAAAGAGATACCCTAAGGATTCTGAGAGTTAGGTAAAGGTTGCTGAGGCCTTCAATCTAGCAACGTGGATGTTACCTAGGGAGTCTGAATCGGAGGTTAGGGCTGGGGAGATGGCTAGGCATTTAAGAGCACTTGCTGTTCTTCCAGAGACCGAGTTCAGTTCCCAGCGTCCATGTCAGGTGGCTCAAATACCTAGAACTCCAGCTGGGGCTAACACACACCTTCTTCTTGCATTTTTGGAGACCTGCCCACAGACACACTTACACACGTAATTAATGTCTTTTTCCTCTGTGCATTCCGAGGTGGCCTGGAACTCGATCTGGAGACCAGGTTGGCCTGGTCAGTCAAACAAACAAACAAACAAACAAACACCCCTTCAAATCAGAGATTACAAACTAGTAGCTTTTGACCCAAATCTGACTTATAGAATTTTATTCAGAGTTTAAACTTTCTAAAATTGAGTCATACATTTAAAACCAAGGAGAATCTGAGTGGAGAATGTAGCTCAGTGGTAGAGTGTTTAGCGTGCACAAGGCCCTGTACCTCATGCCCTGAAACCAAGCTAATAATAATGATAGTAAAACCTCAGGAAACTCCTACACAAATTTGGTTTGCCATAGTATTTGTTTGTTTGTTTGAGACAGGGTCTAAGTAGTCTTGGCTGTCCTGGAGCTTGTTATGTAGACAAGGCTAGCTCACACTCACAGAACTCTACCTGTCTCTGTCTCCTGAGCGCCGAGATTAAAGGTGCTCCACACTGGCTTCCAAAGCACTCTGAAAACTGAAAGGCAGCAATACCAGTACAGGCTTGGGGTGGCATACACTCTCCAGCTGACCACGAAATTTCCTGCTTGTTGCCCGCATCCTCTCAGGACAGGCACCCACTATGTATTGCAGACTGTCCCTGACCTTGTGGTGGTCCTCCTGCTTCAGCCTCCCAAGCATTGGGTTCCAGTGTACACTGCCAAGCCTGGCTTGCTTGCCTGCCGTCAGTGCTTGCAAACCCTGCTTTGGAAGCTGCACGAAGCTGCACATACTCGGGCAGTGCAGCAAGTTCCAGGGCTCAGTCCCTGGTCCAGTGCTTCACGGGAGCTGGGCCCTCTCACCTGGCGAGTCAGAGACAGCAGGGTCCGCCAGCCGCCCGTAGTGCGCCATGAGCTTGAGCTTCGTCTCCTGCTTCCTGTGTCTCTTGCCCATGTAGTGCTGTCGCGCCATGGCAGGGTCATTGAACGTTGAATGGCAGAGGCTGCAGAACTTGTCTGGGTCTAGCATCTCTCTACTCTGGTGCAAGGCTAAGGTGGAGGCCACAAGGAAAGGGTTTGTAAGGTGTTTCGACAAAGCTGTGGTGAGAGAGTCAAACAGAGACAATGAAGGAACAGCCCAGAAGGCACCCACGGGCTTCTGAGTGTATCTGAAGTGAAAGAGGTGGCGGCAGCCACCACACTTCGAGATGTGGCCCTAAGAGTCACACCGTGGACGCTTTCTCTAGGGAGAGGTGGCAAGACCCGAGCGCATATGATGAACAGCTGATCTGTTCACCACCTTTCAGCCCACGAGCCCTAATATCTTCACCCTGAAGAGGTTCTGAACTTGTGCTATCCAGTCACCAAATTCTAACAGACCAGGTGCAGTCTCTCTAGACTTCAGAATTCCTTGAAATTTCAACCTGAGTAGAATAAGAAACATATATATTTCATTTCTACCTTCAAAATACCTCAGTTACAGAGCTGAAGAAGACATTCAAGTTGAGCCCATACAGAGCCGGGCAAGCAGATCAGGAAGGCCCTCTATTGTTTATTGATTTGTTGTTTGTTTCTTGTTTTGGTTTTCGGAACAGGGTTTCTCTGTGTAGCCTGGACTCACTTTGTAGACCAGGCTGAACTCAAACTCACAAAGATCCTCCTGCCTCTGCCTCCCTGAATGCTGGGATTAAAGGAGTGTGCCACTTTGTTTTTGTTTTTTTGAGAAAGGGTTTCACTATGTAGCTCTCTGGCTGGCCTAAAATTCAAAATATAAACCAGGCTGGGATTAAAATTTGTGCCACCACACTTGGCAGAGATGCCTGTTAACTACACTCGAGTCAAGGCAATGTGAGGGAGAGGAAGATGGCAGGAAAACCTACACATTTTGTATATACGTTTTCCCTTTAGGTTCTCAAAAGCACTTCAATGAAATAGGAATAATTTTGCTACATTACAGAAGAGCGATGCTTAGACAGTAGAAATGATTTGCTTACATCACCAAGTTAGAGAGAACCCTGCACTGTGTGAGCCTGAAGCTATCATTCTACGCCAGGCTCAAGAGTGCAGCAAGTAGAGCTGAAGGCTACGACTGAAGATTTCACCTTCAGAAAACACTCCTGCCTCTGCTCAAAGAATTCAGTCAGTCAGGGGCTGAAGAGTGGGTTCAGCAGTTAAGAATGGCTCCTGTTCTTCCAGAGGATCTGAGTTCAGTTCCCAGCATTCTGGTCAGGTGGCTCACAAATGCCTTTAACTCCAGGTTCAGGGGCATCCAAGTGCTCTGGCTTCTTGCAGGCAGGTACGCGCGCACACGCGCACACGCGCACACACGCACACACGCACACACGCACACACGCACACACGCACAC